ATTAATATAATGTGGCTTGACAAAATTTTCCATATTTTCCACACAAAGGGTTTATATAATTCACTATGATTTTTGCAAGAATTATATTAGATTAACTAAGGGTATATTACTTAGAAATATTTATTTAATTCTCATGTTTTTATTTTATGTTATCAAATCATATTGGAATGATAATCTTATTAAGTGGATAAATTTATTATAAATAATTTAATATTTTTCTTGTGGTATATACGGAATGTAAATTCAGAAGATTATATAGAAGAAGTAAAAACATTTTTTTGATGAAAATCTGAAAAATATATACCCTTTAAATATTTTAGTGAGACCAAGTCAATGGTAATCATAACTTAATTTTTATTGAAAAATCTACAAAATGAATGATGTGTAGACAGAGAAATAAGTAATCAAGAGCTTATGCAATATATAATTAAAGAACTTACAATCAACAAAAAGATTAAATATGTGTAAATGTATGTTTGTAGTGAAATTTTATTTTTATATTTTAAATCTTACAAAAAAGTATCAACTCTGACTTGTAGCTTCCATTATTGTAGGTTGTATAAAGTACAAAGGATTGGTTTTGTCATTTACGGGAAAATTGGCAAAGCCGGCGGAGAAACGCCGGCGAGAAACTCGTCGTAAACAAAGGTTCTCTTCTCTCTGTTGTGTGAGTGGTTACGGAAGAAATTCTAATCGTGATGGAGATGGAGATGGGTGTTTGCGATGTGCTCTCTTGCTTCGCTTTTTCGTAGGTATATTTTCCCAGAAAGAAATGTTGGTGTTTGCAGATGGAGATGTGTGGTTGCGACGTCCTCTCTTGCTGCGCTTTTTCCTAGGTACATTTACTAAGAAAGACATGTAAATGTTTGTAGATGGAGATGTGTCTTCGTCTTCTACTCTCGCCGCGACGGATAGTCTCCCGGCGAGATTATGTGTAACTCGTTTTGCGACCTCCTCCTCTCTATCTTCCATTCCCATTATATCCTCAACTTCTGCAATTAGTCCACCCATCGTTGTTTCTCTTTTAAGGACAACGATGAACAAGAGCCTTATCTTATGATCAGTGAATAACCCACGATTAATACCAGTGAGGGCAAAAAGAAATTAAGAGCTTCTTGGTCTGTAATTATGTGGTTCAGTGCTTTGCTTTGTCCTGAGTTATAGAGGCATTTGGTCCCGAGTTAACTCGGAAAAGGAAATTCTATGCGTACAATAAAACGCGGCGTTTTATTGTATTGGTCTTTCTATTTTTTTTCTTTTCAATAAATTTACACTCACTCTTATCTCTCTCTGCCACTGTATTGGTTTTTTTTTGTTGTTGTTGTTGTAATTCGATCATTAAACGACATCGTTTCACGCCCTTTTCTTATTTTACAGAACCTGACTTCATCTTCTTCCCCGTTTGGGCTCTGGGCCTATAGGCTTTTTCTTTTCCTTATCTTTTCTTTTTCTTCGGCTCGGTCAAGCTACTGGGCTTTGCCTTGTCTTTTACTCAGATTGGGTTTGGGATCCCCTCTTTTACTGTTTCCTTTTCTTTCATTTTTTTCCTCAACTTTAATTAAAAATGAAATTAAAATTATAATTAAAATTAAATAAGGTAAAGCTTAAGAACAAAAACAACCCTAATAACAATAATAATAATAATAATAATAGTAGTAATAATAATTTTATCACCACAAGCGATTTTAATTTAAATCTTCTCTATACCAATTCATTATTATTATTATTATTATTATTATTATTATTATTATTATCTTACTATTTTATTGTTTAATATTATATACACACATTTTTATTCGTTATTATTAATATTTTTTTATCTTTTATATTTTTTTAAATACGACACCTTGAAATGTTAACTCCATTAGTAACTCACCTTGGTTGAAGATTTCTCTTCAAATCCTAGAGCCATGAAATCATATGGATTCATGTTGTAGCGTTGTTTCATTGTGTTTAATCTTCTCGCTTTATGTGTTGCCCGTTATTGCAAGGAGTTCCCTATAACACTTGTTGTAGCTTGTAACACTCTTTGTAACAACCTAGTTCACATGCTAAAGTAAGAAGCATTTTTTTTGTTATTTTGATGTATCAATAAGAACAAGTATAGATTGATCATTGATGCTCATGCATTTTTCTTTTATGATAATCTAATGATGTATTTTGATTAGCTTTTAAATGTCAATCTGACATGTTTTGAGATAGGTCTTGCGACACGAAAACTATACACTTAGAAATAATTACTCTAAAATCTTAAAAATAGAATATCAATCTTAATTATATCTCACTATGGGAAGATATTGTGAGATGTCTTAAATTCCTTCATAAGAAGTTTATGTATTCAGCTTAAATTATGTCATGAAAAGATGTTAGACAATTTCGTCATATAAAGATATATAAAGGAATCAACATAAAAAAAATTAAATAATGAAAAAAAAATTAAAAAAAAAAAGAGAATTCCAAAAAGCCTTTCATAATTATTATCATCACTCTTATTCATTTTCTTTATAACATTCAAAATCGGTTAAATACTTTAGTCTTAGTGAGAGGCAAGTAAAAAAAAAAAGATGGAAATATATGAAAATTATTTAGAAATAATATTAAAATAGTCAATTTTTCGTCTTATTTTTTAGGGGTGTCGATTCTCTATTTTAAGTATGATAAATTTATCACACGTTATTTTATTATGAAATGTATGTTGAATGAGCATTTTGCATGTATCTGTCTTCTCCCTCAATCTTTTGATGTTTGATTATCTGTGGATTAATGGAATGAGCATGAGGTTCAAACTTAAGCCAAAGAAGTTCTCTTGGGAAATCTTTTGGAAAGGGCATTACTTAGAAAGAATAGTCATGCTTTTTTGTCATTTGTGTTTAAATACTAATTTTCTTATTACTATATTTTACTCTCCTTTCTCCAAAGTATTCAATTTTCTTTTATTTTTAATGAAAAAAGCTACATTGTTAAATTATATTCAGATACTTTTTGTAAAGGTCTGAAACCTTAAGAAAAAAAATATATATTGTAATAACGGAAGCAAATAGTAATTTAGAGTTTATATTCCTTACACAGTAAATTAGAGTGCCCAATAGGGCTACATGAATGTCTATTTTTCAAAAGTTAAGATAAAGAAATGTCTAAAATCCTATGGGGTTAATCTCCACTAGCAACTTTGATGGGATCTATGAGGTAACCTTACTCGCAACTCTCCTGCTATTCAGGATCTGTATTTTGGTCTTGTTGATCTGAAATAGTTAATAGATGAGTGAGCTACAGTAACCCAATAAGAATATCACATTAATCACTGATACGGAAACCGAAAGTTAGTAAAAATTATAAACTAACTAATGAAGCAATTGATTCAGGTAAATTCATTTAATATAAAATTCGTTTATTCCATACTTACCGTTATAAGTTCCCAAAATCGACTTACGAAAATAATAAATCAAATAACATTGTGATTTCATATTCGTTTAAATTTAATTTTTAGTTTTCCAATTAACTGTAAATTACGTAAAACAAGTAATACATGCATCAAGAAAATACAATCGAATTATCATACCAATTCCAGTGTATTATCATGCAATCGAAACTGTAAAATTATCAATCAGTTAAACATTACAAATAGTAATAAATAGCAAATTTCAGCTCCCTTAGTAACCTTTAATTATCGATATTTCTAAATTACACAAAATACCATATTATTTATAATTAGATTTTAATTCCATAACAGGGAATAAAGTGAGGAATTATTATTTGAATTGATGTCCGAAACACTAAAATTTCAACTGCACCTACTATCGGTCCCCGGGT